CATTACAGTCAGAGAGAATAGCAAGCGCAAAAGCTTGGAAGAAGAAATGTGCTCACAGCACCTGTACAAGGTAGGTGTTATCTTCATTTTACACAGAAGGAAATAAAGCCCAGAAAATGTAAGTGACTTGTCTAAGGGCTTATACTAATAAGTGGGACATTATGGACTTGAACTAAAATCTTTTGAATGTAAAAATCTGTATTCTGTTTTGATACACTCCCTCTGTCTGCAACTTTTACTAATTACACTAAAAGAATACACACACACACACACACACACACACACACAGCATTCTAGAAACATGGTGGTAAATACTGAAGAGTAGCTGTTTCAATAGCAATTTAAGCTCCTTCTAGAGTGACTTCTTGTTCAATAGGAAGTAGAAGGGTAAAGCCAGGGTCTTTGCATATAGCCTCTTTTCCACTAAACAGACCACCTGCAAGACTCAGAAGTGAGCTTGAGTCTAGTTAAATCATAATTGTGTGGCTATTCTGGAAGCTGGGTGATGCAAGAGGATATTTTGCTTTTTCTGAGCTACGGCCTTTGGTCGTCTAATCTTGTAGTACTTAGTGGCAGTTAGGCAGCTTTTTGACTTGAGAATTTTGCAGTAGCAGCAGAGGCCCCGTGGATCTTGAGTCAGCTGTGGTGACAGTGGCTGCCCTCTTGTCAGGCCAGTTTGGCAGTGTGTTTCTGGAAGTTGTTCCTAGAGGCCCAGCCTAGAGCCTTACTCTCTAGTCTTTCCACCAATACCCTAAACAAATTCCTTTCTTCATAAACCAGTTAGGGTGGCCTCTATTGCCTGCCACTGAACCCTGACTGGTAGAGCAACTGGCAGGAAAATGGGGTGACTATGATTCTCTTCAATGATTCTAAGCAGGCTTCTAGTTTACTGTCATTTGTATACATATGGCCTGCTCACCTATTTTGTTCCTATGATCCAAAGTTCTTGTCAGTCATAGTATTGTCATTACCATTTTCTCATTATTGTAGCCATGCCTTCTTTTGTCTCTGCTACTCTGAGACTCCATCATAATCAGGGAGCCTACTTGTGAGGCAATGTCTTCACCTTTGTCCTTGACCTATTTCTATTATACTTTTCAAAGGTGCTGGTACTTTTATCACTAATGTATTTTTCAATGTTCTGTGGAAATACCCTTTTAAGAGATACAGGGCACACGTGAATGGAACGTGTGTGATAAATCCACTGCAACAATCCCATCTCTATACATCTTTGAATTTTTCCTCTACATTATACCAAGGACCTGTTATTATCTCACTTTATTTTTCCAAGGCCATTGTTGCCTACAGATTTTGATCCACCAAGAGAGAACTAATTAGGATCACTCCCAGCTGCTTGATCCAGTCCATTGAGTTGAGAGTCTCTTCCAAGTGTCTCTTTATCAATTCGTTTAGCCTCAAACAGAATTATATTCCTCTATCCTTGGTCTGCTATTCTCAGCAAAATATACAGATTTCTGCTGTTAAAATTAATAGTTAAAGAAATTCTATTGAATCTAATTCTTCCTTTATGGGGATTTATTGTGCAATTAGGTGTCTGCAACATGTTGGGATAGTAAATTAAATTGTTGCTTCTATTCTTTTAAGGAAGAAGCTCAACATTTGATAGGCCTCTGGATCTTGGAAGCAACAGACGTCACATTTGGTTGCCTCTTCTCACTCAATAACTGGATAACTCACAAATCTATCATCTTTGAGTGGGCCCCTGAGCAAGCAAGGGGTCTTTAGCTTGTCTAGGTTACAGTGCAAGCAGCACGGACTTTGGCTTTTAGGATCTAGCATATCCAAAGAGCCCAAAACTGTTATGGCTGGTCAGGATGTTGTGTAAGGGCTACAGCAAGGCTCTACAGCAGAATCACAGTTGAGAACCATAAAATTTTGGAGCAAAACTATGTTCTCTTCAAGTAACTTTTCTTTTTCACTGAACACTTGAACATGGCCCATCAGAGACCTGAGCTGTTCGCCATGAACTGGAAGCTGTCTGATCCACTAAGCAAAAATTCATAATATATTGAGGATTATTCCATCATTAAGTGGAAGTGATTTACAGGAGGTCTCACTCCAGAATGGTCTAAAAGCAATGGTAAGTTGAATAAACAATGAATAGCTCATATTCTGCTGCTTTTTTACTTCTCTCTCTCAACCAGCAACTGTGACCTGGTGGTGAGTTCCCTATGACCAACTGACAGAGGAGGAAAAAACAGTCTATCCTAGTTTAAAAACACCCTCACGCCAGGGTGTTTAGATTAGGGAAGAATCATATTGTTGGACCTCTTCCAATGGATCCAGAGTACGAGAATATTTGTGTCTTATGAGAATACTCATCCAAGGCCTTACTGAGGAAGATTTCAGTAATCAGGAGGCTGTGGTCACGTGCTCTGGCTGAATGTCAGGCAGCCTCTTTCTCCAGTTACTCCAGCGATTGCTCAAAGGGCTCATTAATGAAGCGGCCTTCGTGGAAGGTGCAGAGTTTATGGAATGATTCAGTAACATAACCTTGTACTCACCCAGGCCTCTCTGACCACTGCTAAGTGCCCAATTGACAGACATTAGAGGCCAAATCTGAGCCTCTGATGGAGAGTCAGATCCTCAGGGGCCCGTGTGCTCTGTGGTTGTGGATTATTTGCAATGGATCCTTTCCATCATGGAGAAGGCAATGATTTTCCTCACTGAAACAGATGATTCATTCATTTAAAAATATCGATTAAACACCTACTATGGACCAGGCAGACTTCTAGGTACTTGGGGTATATCAATGAACAAAGAGAACAAGGTTTGTTGCCCTTAAGAAATCTAGTTTTTAGAGAGATGATATGCAGTAAGCGTAGTAAATCGGCAACGTTTGTTTCAAAGTATGTTTGAAAGTGATAAGTGCTATGGAAAAAAAGCAAATCAGGGTAAGGGAGACTGGAGGTGCTGAAGATGGGGGGGAAGTAGTTTCCAAATTTACATGAGTCACCAGGGCAGACCTCAAAGCTTTGGTAGATATCAGGGAGGAAGAGCATTCTAAGCAGAGAGCAGCTCATGCAAAGGCCTCAAACAAGCATTTACCTGGTGTGTGCAAGAAGCAGTACAGAAGGCAGCACTTCCTCTGTGAAGTGCTAAGGGGAAGAATGGCAGGAGACTGGCAGCAAAGGGGGCAATCAGGTGTAGCCTTGTGGGCACTCAGGGCCTCTGGCTTTCACTATAAGAGAGATGGGGAGGCACTGCAGGCTTTTGAGCACAGTGACCACAGTGCTGAGAATGGGCTGTGGGGATGAAAGGGAAAAAGAAGGGAGACACGAAGCTACCACTGTAACAGAAGTCAGTGGCACCTCAGACAAGAGTAGAATAATGGGGTGGTATAACGAGGCAGTCTTCTGGGTGTAGATATTTTAACTCTTTATTATGGAAAATTAAAACATGTAAAAGTAAAGAGTAGCATAAACCTCTTCTTACCCATCACCCAGCTTCAGAAATGGTGCACATATGACTGATCCTGCTACATCTATACCTACCCACTTCCTACCCACCCTCACTTCATAGGGTTATTTGAAACCAAATCACATAATTTCATCTACTAATTTCATGTACACTGAACCTACATTAATAAGCTTTAATCTAATACTTCAGTATAAGCTATAAAAGTGAATATCCTTTGGCTTTTATAAAAACATCACTACAATAAACTATCATTTATATACAAAACATACAACAATTTCTTAATATTAGTGTACACATTTTTCTTAGTATCTCATAGGTAATTTTTTTTTCTTAATTTGAGTCAGGATCCAAACAAGACCCATGCATTCCTTTTGGTTGAATTGTCTCAAGTCTCATTTAATTGATATGTCTTCTTTTTTACTTTTTCTCTTTTTTGGGGGTGATACATGTGACAAATTCATCCATTCATATAATTTGTAAAGATCAAATCAGTGTAATTGGCGTATCTATCACCTTAAATATTTGTCTTTTCTTTATGTTGGAAATATTCTAATTACTTTTCATCATTTTTCTTTTCTTCTCACTCCCTTTCTTCCTCTCTCTCCTCTTCATTTCTTTCTTTCTTTCTTTCTTTTTTGCCATTTGTTTGTTAAAGAAACGAGGTCATTTGCCCAATAGCACTTTTTCTCAGTTTGTGTTTTGCTGGTTGCAATCCCATAATATTATTTAAACAAGTCAATTTTTTCCATGGATTTTCTATAAAACAAGTATTTAGTTAGAAAGACTTGAATGGATTCAGTTTTAACATTTGGGGCATGGATACTTTGTAGGTGGTATTGTACACTTCCATCAGGAGACCTATAAGATTTGGCTGCTGGTTTTTGTCAATTATTTAACCAGTAGGTATATCATGAAACATCCATACAAAATTGTGGCTCCCTATTTCTTTTATTCTTTCTTCATTTATTGCAAGAGTTATTCTCACATTAATGAAGTAGTAACTCAAAGACACAGTTCCTACAAGAAAAGCAACCTTATTTCCTTTGAGTAGGGAATGGTATTTAGAGAATCTGTAAGGAGTGCTTATTGCTTATGGGTTGGTAATTAATTTCAAGGCCTTTTCAGTGAACAGATGTGGGAAATATTTATCTATTTTTAAAGGCAGAGTTTATTATGAGTTTATACTAATATTTTAAATTCAAATTTAGGTTTGGAGAATTGTTACTTAAGTTTTTAATTTTATAGTTGTGTCTCTTTTCTCTAATGTTGCAAATCTTTGTCCCTAATGACATTAACATAATTATCATTTGCTTTTGGAAGCACAGCCTAGAGCTTGCATCTCCAGCTCTTCTGATGTCCTCTTTTAAATTCCTCTGTCTGTAAACCATTTCAGGTGGGTTCTTTTATCTGCAACGGAATCCTGACAGTGTAAGCTGTGCGGGCAGAAGTGAAGGGGCTTTTCATTGTTTGTACAGTACCCATGCAGCCATTCACAGTTAAACAAACTGATGCAAGTGAGTCTCCAGTGAGAGAATTGTTGTAGATGTATTAAGCAGAGATCCAGGTCACCCAGTCTTTTTCATCTCTGTGCAAATCCCAATTCACCAAAATTTGTGCTTCTGTTTTTCAAAAACAGTCATTCTCTCTCTTTATCCCCCTTCGCTAATGCAGACCCTAGGGAATGTGTTAGGCCAGGCCCACAGCAAATAATCCAGGGTCTTGTCTTAACTGTGGATCCTGGTTATCTTAGTGAAGTCTTTCACGCCATTCCATCCCAACATCAGAGCAGATGAATGAGTATTCCTGGGAGTGAATGCATATGCATGAGGAGAACTGGAAAGCTGGAATGAGTTGATCATTCCAGGGGCCACAAGGACTGCACTGGGCCTGGGACTTTGGATAAGGGACAAATCACATGAGTAGGACATTCTCGTAACTTTTTATTCTCGTAACTTTTCATTCTTGTAACTTTTCATTCTCGTGACTTTCTTCGTCCTTAGAGCTGATCTTTCCAGCTGAGTTATCTGGGTGTTGTGTCTTCACCTCAGAGTAGACAACTGAGACATCCTGGAATGGAAGAAAGAAGTGGAAATCAAGAGGGAGTGTGAGGCTGCAGGTAATGGTGGAGATAAAACTGTGGGGAAATGAAACTCACCTTATCCTCTAGAAGTGTCCTGGAGGTATTAGCTGTGGAGAGAAAGATAATCACTGGACTATGGGCATAAGGATGCACTTAGAACTTAGGCTGTTAGCTGATTCCCTAGAGTCTGGGAGCCACTGGGCCCTGTCCATTGATTGTCATGTTTTCTCCACCTCTTCCCCTAACATGTCTTAGAATACATTTGACTTTCTGTTCTACCATTTCTTAACCCAGCCCTCTGCAAGTTCTTTTCAAGCTCCATTGATCTGTAAAGTCCTCCATCAATACCACACTAAGAAACCTCACATCCTTCCTCTACCAGATATTGAGAGATTATTTTTTTTCTTAGTTTTAGTTCTTGCTTCTCTTAACTTACAATACTGTCATCTCATCACCCCTGATTGTTTGGCAAGTTCCCATTACAGTGCTCCATATGTGTGCCCTGTGAGAAAAACTCTCTCCTACATTAACAAGTTCTAGTTCTTGATTTTTATTGCCATGGTTTCCTAGAGTCGGAGCCAGAGTGAGAGGTAAGTTTAGCAGATATGATTTGGTGGACCATGCATATTAGGAATTAAGAGTCTCAGAGTAAAAGGTAGAATTATCAGAGCAGCACAGCAATTTTATGGAGAGAGAGAGAACCTGAAAAAAAGATACACTCTGGGGCACTTGAGGTTTCTCTCTGTTTCTTTTCTTTTTTTTTTTTTTTTTGAGACGGAGTCTCTCTCTGTTGCCCAGGCTGGAGTGCAGTGGCCGGATCTCAGCTCACTGCAAGCTCCGCCTCCCGGGTTCCCACCATTCTCCTGCCTCAGCCTCCCGAGTAGCTGGGACTACAGGCGCCTGCCACCTCGCCCGGCTAATTTTTTGTATTTTTTTTTTTTTTTTTTTTTAGTAGAGACGGGGTTTCAGCATGTTAGCCAGGATGGTCTCGATCTCCTGACCTTGTGATCCGCCCGTCTTGGTCTCCCAAAGTGCTGGGATTACAGGCTTGAGCCACCGCGCCCGGCCACTTTCTCTCTGTTTCTTACTGTATTGTTACCATATTCTTACCCCAAACCTTTAGGGATTGCAGATATTTTTCATAATATGGTGGAAGCTATGTACTCTCCCCAGAATAATGGTCATATGCATAAAACTTTGCATATGATTTCAGGGGCTTCATGTAAACCTTGAGGAACAGCTAAAGAAACCGTACTACAAATCATTAATACTTCAAGTGTCTGAAATGTAACTAGTCCATCAACAGAATACTTGGCTTAAATGGTGTTTTCATAAATATGTCAAGGAAAGAGTATGAAGAAAAGCAAAATGATCAAGAGAGCTCTGTAAGATAAGATGTACTCAATCCACCCAATAAAGGTAGTGGCCTTTCTAATGCTCCCATTCAAAGGGGATCCTGATTAATGGAGGTGGCTCAGAGAACAAAGTGAAAGGCAAAGCAAGTGATCAGGTGATATATGTTGGTCAAATATAATAATAGGCTGTGCATGCAGAAAATATAGCAAGACAGAAGACTTAGTCTTAACTTTGTCCTTTACTGACTTTGTGACCTGGAGAAAGTCCTTCTCTGAGTCTTATGTGTAATACTTCATTTTCATAGAACACCTTCAGCGTCAGGTTACAACTGAAATTCCTAGATTTTAACTTCCCAAGTGAGGTGCCATGGGTAGATTTATACAAGAAATAGAGAGAATTGTTTGTTTCCTTGACTGTAAGAACCCAGGTGAATCAACCAAAGCAAGGAAGTGTGGGGAGGAAAAGATTTGTTGGAGAAATGTCTTTAGAAAGATGATCAGTTTATGTCCAATGTGTCTCTGCTTTGGTTTTCTGAGGTGGGAGTAGCAGGTGGGGACCGCTATTTTATAGCCCCCAGCCTGGTGAAGGAGATCTCAGAAATTCTTCTTGAACTTCTGAAGTGATTTGGAAGTGACTTCCCTGATGCTGGGGTATAGCGCTCCCACCTCAGAACGCCAAAGTGGACCACAGGTTGCAGTTACCTACAGTGATATTTTCCTAACAACAGATCTCAATTCATTAGTGGGTCTTAAAATGGGGTCTGAATAGGATGAAAGAAGTGAAGTAGAACTTCAAGAAACAATTCAGCTTATTCTGGCCAAAATGAACTCACAGGGACAGGATTTGTCTTCCCATTTTAAACAATGAGAAAAAAGGACAAAACAGTGCTTTTCAGATATCGCACCAGTTTACCACCAAGCTGTGCATGGACTTGGGAGTTCAGACAGAGCCTGACTTCTGGCTTGAAGCCTTGCTGACTTGAAGTGACAGAGACCAACAGTTCTGTTTTACTAAAGCAGCTAGAATTTGTAGGACAGTACCAAAGAGACAGGAGGAAAACAGATCGAAAGCTCCAGAAGTCTGCAGAGGGCTCTCCTCAAGTCTTTGGCTGAATACTGATGGGCATATTTGTAAGATGAAAGTATCTTAGGCCAGGGTAAGAACCACTGGAGAAGAACAGGCAGAATAATCCCAGAAGCTGATGCAGACCTTATAATTAATGGACCATCTGATGTAGAATCCCCAGAAATGCATTGCTTTACTATCAGGCTAGATTAACCCTACTCTAAAGGTTGCTTGAGACTCACCCTAACAAAGCTTAAAAGCAAGCCTCAAAAGGATCCAACTCATTCCAAATAACTTACCTTTCTCCAATATAAAATTTTAAATCTGACAGTAATTAGAGGAATACAATACTGTAAAAATCACATTTTCTAGCACTTAATTAAAAATGCCTTGCATATATATATATTCTCAGCACAATGCTTACCACATAGTAGACATTTTACAAACATTTATTCTTTCAGACCTAAGGGAGACCTTAATACATACACTATAATGATCACAATATCTATCAGAAGGATGCTTAATTTCCATTCTGATCATCAGCAAAAGTATACTGTGTATATTTCAGTACCTATTTTCCCTCCTTAGAATCTAAGCTCCCCACTGCAGGGATTTTTGTCTGCCTTGTTTACTGGCTGACTTCCCATACTTACAATAGTACCTAGCACATAGGAGGTGCTCAGTAAATGTTTGTTGAATGAATGAATATAGTTTGCAGCCAGAATCTCTTCCCAGGGACGTACCTTCCCCTTCTTCTCCCAGCCGAATAATCTGGATCTCAGAGTACATCAAATCTCCCTCTTTGGGGTGTACTGGAAAGAAAAGACATTTTCAAGGCTGTTCCTGTTAGTATTAAAGTGCTACAGATCCCTCTTCCTAAGCATCATTTCCACTCTTCTTGGACACACAATGGAACAATTATCTGGGAATATCTGGATTTGGGACACTTTAGGGAGTTTAGGGGCATTTCCCATGGCTGAAAGCGCATTATCTTTCCATGGCTGAGGCCAGGAATAGCTTCCTAGAGGGGAATCCTCACCATCAACACATAGCGACTGAAGCTCCACCTGGGCAGGGTAAATGGAATGGGAGGACTCTCCTGGGCCTGGAGCAGGAGGGAGCCTGCGAGACACAGAAACACATAATAATCCCTGTCACATTATAACATGCAGGAGAGTGAGATACTCAGGGATAGTGGCAGAGGAGAAAGAGGATTTGGAGAAAGTCAGCAGCCAACAGGGAACAGGAAAGCCTGAATGGTTTAATCAGAGTTTCAGTACATCTATGTAGAGTGAGATTGTTCTTTTGAAAGAAATCCTGGGGCTGTAGGATGGACAGGCTGCCTGGAAACAAGGTTAGGGAGTCTCTGACATCATAGTAACAATCAGCGTCTCATAGTTAGAATGATTACTCTTGGTTGGTTAAAAAATACTGGCTTTCCAGCCTGGGCAACATAGTGAGACCTTGTCTCTACATAGAATAAAATAAAGTTGACCAGGCATGGTGGCATGTGCCTGTAGTCCTAGATACTTGGGAGGCTGAGGTGGGAGGATTGCTGGAGCCTGGCAGGTTGAGATTGCAGTAAACTGAGATGATGCCATTGCACTCCAGCCTGGGTGACAGAGCCAGATCCTATCTCAAATGTATACGTACTGGCTTCTTCGTCATCAGGAAGGAGTGATTAAATGTCTTTATTTTACTGTTGGCCTGGTTCAGTGGCTCACACCTGTAATCCCAGCACTTTGGGAGGCTGAGGTGGGCGGATCACTTGAGGCCAGGAGTTTGAGACCAGCCCAGCCAACATGGTGAAACCCAGTCTACCAAAAATACAAAACTTAGCTAGATGTGGTGGCTCACGCCTGCAATCCCAGCTACTTGGGAAGCTGAGGCACAAGACTCACTTGAACCTGGGAGGCGGAGGTTGTCGTGAGCTAAGATCATGCCACTGCACTCCAATCTGGGTGAAAATAAATAAATAAAATAAATAAAATGTCTTTACATTGTAATGTCTGTACAATTCAAGAAGGAATTAGACATAATCCACACTCCTATTCCTAACCTAAGACTGAGACACTGACATAGAAAGAGGAAGATGACAGTATTTTCCAAATGGAAGTTAAGGACATAATGTTTAATGAGTATATATGCATGTATGGTGCAAAAAGAAGATTATTAGAAACATAGAGTTCCCTGGAAAACCTAGAACATTTGTAGAAAATCTAGACTCTAGTCATTGTATGCATAGTTATAGTAACACATTGTCTAACTTAATTATAGTACAAGAAATATTCTTTGCCAACCCAGAAAATTTATAACCTTTGGTATTATCCATTTAGATGAGTAGGTTAAGGTCAAATAAGAAATTTATCATTTTTTATGTATTGCAAACTATTAGCTGACAAGCAAAGTTCTAGGAAGCTTCATTTTTGACCAATTCAAGGAGTGTGAAAATGGAAGTATCTAGCTACAGGGCCAAAGAGATATAACTTGACCTAATTTTGTAACCCCACAGTTTTGCATATTGTGTACTTGGGAAACTAAAAAGGAACTGGCAGAAGCTGAGGTCTCACCTGGTTTCGTCTCCCAAGAAATCAACTCCTGCAAAATAAAGCAAAGATGCATTTTTGTCAGCAGAGGGAGCCCTTTCTCAATGACTTCACATAACAGGAGCTATCTAAGAGATGTCATCAAGAAAGTCAATTCAAACACCTGCCCGGTCCTGGGTTTTCATGAAAATGAGGTGAAAAAAAGATTGAACAAAGCATATAACTTGTTGAGGCTAGGACTGCATACTCCTGAGTTAAATATGCAATTGTTTAAGAATTTATGAAGACTCAAGTCTGTGTTGAAATCCCTCAGGAAACATTACATATAACCAAAGTGTCACTTGGAGAGTAGTGAGCTATGGGTGAACTTCGAGGAACATCTGTGGTCATGCCCAGAGGAGCGTTGGGCTCTGACTCAGGCTCACTAGGGAGAATCGGTCAGAGGTCCAAAGCTCCCTACCTCCAGCTCAATGCAGGACACATAGAAGGTGCTGTCAGGAATCTGGAAAGTTGAATTGAATTAAGAGACAGAGTTGAAGGATGTGGGTAATTGTTCTAGAACTGAAAAAGGTTCTGCTCCTGTCTTCTACACTAGGTTTCTTGGCATCTAAAGCCAGCCTGAGGTGGGCTGAAGCAAGAAGCCTTTGGAAGTACGCAGCAAACAATGCCTGGGACAGACCATGTCCAACAGGCAGGGGAGGCTGACCTGAGGAGAGAGGGGCTCCTGGAGCACTAGATGGCAGGCTCAAACTCAGACCCAGAAAAGCTCCTGAGGGGACAGAAGGATAAAATTAGCCAGCTCTTATTCTCAGTCATTTCTGCAGAGTCCTTTAGTTCATTTTGAATCTCCATTTATGGTGCATTTAGGTTGAAGTATCTAACTGGCCAGTCTGTATGAACCAAAGAAACTGCCTAAGTAAACTGTTCAGATACAGTTTTTGGAACTTTACATTAAAGATTTCACTTTTCCTCCCCTTCCCTGAGACTTAGCCAATCAGACTAGATATGAGCAGCTCTCATTCATGGCCTCTATTTGCAAAACTACCCCTTAAGGAAGGGACAGACGTGAGTGTGTGTGAACGCTGGGAGTGGAGACTTGGGAGTGGTGGCCGGGTGGCCACTGAGGCTGGCTGCACGCTGAGTTCAGGGGAAGGGACAGGGCAGGAACTGTGGCAAAGAAAAGAGCACAAACCTGACTTCCTCCGGCGCCAGCAGTGAAACAGCAGGGCCAAGGCCAGGAGAAGAGCAATGAGCAGCCCCCCAGTGGCTCCCGCGGCGACAAGGCCATCTCTGTTGCCTGAGATCTCTAAGGGGAAAGGACCTGTGTGAATCTCAGTGGAGAGGTTCAGGGCTTGGGATTGCCTTTTCCTCAGCTTGGTTGGGTACTGAGCCCTGGAAGAGAGAAGAATCTAAAGGACTAGGACTCATAAAGATATCTTGGGCCAGGTTTTGGCCAGAAAAACTCACACTGGGTGGGCCAGGGCCTGAGTAGAAGAGGAAACAGCTCCCTCTACCTTCAGTAAATCATTTTAGAAACTAACAATTTAGGGGAAATCCTAATGTTGTATTCTGGTAACCTGGCTTCCTGCAAATTGCCCCCAGACACCTGGAGAGATACTGTGGGACCATGGCTTGGCAGCACCTAACTTAGGAACAGCAAACTGCATGAGAGAGAATGAAAATTGCACCAGTGATTAGGGCGCCAATTGGACCAACAGTAACTCTGAGATTGCTCTGCATTGGGACACCGTGATGCAATGGCATCAGCCTCCTTCCTCACAGAAGCCTGTGCCTGTGTGCTCTGAAGGGCAGGAGAGAAAAAAACGGATGGTAAAAGTACACACAATCCATGCATTATTAGGGGATTTTGATATTTCCATGGGGTCCATTCTCCTATCCTTTCATCCACAGAAAAGGAGGTTTCATTCAATTTACTCATTTATACAGCAAGTATTTACTGAGGCTACCCTGTGCCGGGCACTGACCTAACCCTTGAAGATACAACAGTGAACAAGGCATTAAAGTCCCTGCTCTTGAATTGATAACCCAGGGAGGAGAGACAAGCAATAAACAAATAAATAAATTTATACCATGCCCTGTGGTGATGAGCTAAAGAGCAAAAAGCATGAGAGAAGGAGACAGAGTGGAGAGTGGGGGGTGGTACTTTCCCATACGTATTCTTGGTCCCCAGGTAAACGAAATTCAGACCTCAGACGCAGGTACTACAGAATTGACAGAGAACATGCAGGTAGTAGAACAACAGCAACACTGACCATGATTTCCATTTGTTTTCATCTATGATTTCGGGCACAGAGGAGCCATTGGCCAGGAGTGGCTGGTGACATTTCTGATATTATCTTTCCCTCCCTGACAATACCAACATACCTGCGCTTTGACCTATGAGTGGTTCCACTGATAGACAGTATTCAGTGGACAACCAGCCCAGCTTCCCAGCCACAACAGCTGAAAGACTAGGGTGGACAGCAGGAGAGAAATCTAAGGACAGAGAGGCTTGGCCACTACATCCTGTATTGAATCTTTCCCTGTCGTCTGCTGGGGCATCCGCCTGTGCAAAATCAGAATCAGCCATGCCCAGGTCTAGGATTCTAGACTCAATGGGCAGAAAGCAAGTTACTCTACCTTCCTGGTAACTCTATTTCCTAAAAGAAATGGCTACTTTGGGGAAAGTAATGGAAATTTGTCTCAGTTAGAAAGACACAGATTCTAAATCCAGGTTGTTGGGTTAGAATCCCAGCTCCTCAACTTACTCACTGTGAGCAGGGAAAATTATTTACTCTCCCTTTGCCTCAGTTTTTAACTACTTACTGTTGTAAATGAGTTAATACATGTAAAGTGCTTTGAACAGTGCCTGACACTTAAGTGTTATGTCTAGGGAAGTACTAGTTCTTATTTTGTGGTCCTGACACCATGCCCTAGACTCTCAGGAACTTCAGGCCGGTCTCTGATTAGCTTAGAGAACTCTTCCATAGGTTAAGCCTGCTCCCATACAGCCCTACCCCAGACAACCTCAGTCCATGCTATGGATTGATTTGTACTCTTCTCCCCCAAATTCATACGCTGAAGCTCTAACCCCAATGTGATGGTATTTGGAGATAGGGCCTTTGAGAGGTAATTGGCTTTAGATGAAATCATGAGGGTGGGGCCCCAAAGATAGGATTAGTGCCCTTCTAAGAAGAAACACCAGAAAGGTTGTCCTGCTTTCTCTCTCTGCCATGTGAAGATACAGCAAGCAGGTAGCCTTCTGTAAGCCAGAAAGAGAGCCCTCATAAGAATCCACATTATATTAGTGCACTAATCCCAGACTTCCAGCCTCCAGAACTATGAGGAAATAGATTTCTGTTGTTTAAGCCCCCCAGTCCCTGATATTTGGTTACGGCAATTCAAGTTGCCTGAGACAGCCCACCTTAGCCCAGCACATGAGGCTACTGCAGAGTTTCTCTCTTTGTTATATATTCTCCTATTTCTAAGCACAGGGGATTTTGCACAAAGTCCATGATTAAAAAATATTTAGGAGGGAATCCCTATTCCATCAAATATCACTGGATCCTTGACGTCCATTTAATCTTTGAGATCATCTGTTTCCTTAACAGATGTTGACACCTGCTTTCCAGGGCTGTCATGAGAATAAAGTGAAATGATACATGTGAAGTGGCCAGTTCACTGCCTGGATCGGGAGAAGCTGATCCATTCTAAAGACCCTAATCCCCAAAAGGGAGAGGAATAATTTATACTTACCAACAGATTCACTGTTATCTCCTCAGAGATTATAATCTTTGAGCTTCCTGAGGCAAACTTTTCAGAACAAGAGCCTTCCTGCAGAAGAAACACCCTCTACCATCAGCGTTACTCTGGATTTCAGGGCATTCAGGAGTCTTTAGAGGGAGCCCTTGGCAGTTTGCAATTTTGCTAATCCCTTCTTTCTCTTCCCTAATCTGATTCTTGAAATGCCATTGAGCCCTGAAATTGAAGACCAGACTGGGCAACATAGTGAGAACCTTTCTCTATGAAAAATAAATTAAAAAATATAGCTGGCCACGGTGGCACATGCCTGTGGTCCCAGCCATTTAAAAGGCTGAGGTGGGAGGATCACTTGAATCCAGAAGGTCAAGGCTGCAGTGAGCCAAGATCACGCCACTGAACTCCACTCTGGACAATGGAGAGAGACCCTGTCTTAAAAAAAAAAAAAAAAGTCATCGAAATGACATTAGCTCAGTCTCAGTCCTTCTCTGCTGGGAATTACACCGAGTGTTATTCCCAGACTGAGATGCAGACTGCTGTGGTACTTAGTTCTGGGGAAACACCTCAGTCTCTTAACCTGGTGGGGCCTGCTTGATCACAAGACTTGCCAGCATCTGGGCTATCAGCATAGCAACCCCCTTGCTGGAGCCTCTGACTAAACTGTTCAGGTTTATGGCTCTGACCATCACAGCTGACTTTGTATAAACAGTGCAGCTGTTTTGGGGGAGCAGTCTCCAAAACTTAGAAGTTGGAAATATTAAAAGGATCCAGAAAGAAAACTTCAAAAAGTATCTGGTGAATAGATAGAATATTAACAGGTTATGTCCCAGAAATTGAGCAGGAAAATGTTTCAAGAAGGAGGGAGGGATCAACTGTATCAAAAGCTGGAGGTAGGTCAAATCAAATGGGAACAGTTTTCCACTGGCCTTAGAAATATGGAGATCATTAGGAATTTTGGTGGATTGAGGCAAGCCTGGTGGTGATGGGTTTAAGAAAAAATAATGGAAGTAAGGAGAGTGAATTGAGGAGTTTTACTATATAGAAAAAAGGGAAATCTAGCTTTCCAGTAACTTAATAAAAGCTTCTTTCTTTCTTTCTTTCTTTTCCTTCCTTCCTTCCTTCCCTCCCTCCATCCCTCCCCTCCCTCCCTCCCTCCTTCCTTTCTTTCTTTCTTTCTTTCTTTCTTTCTTTCTTTCTTTCTTTCTTTCTTTCTTTCTTCTTTTTTGCCAGGGATGCAACCAAACCTGAGATTGAGGAGGAATTGAACCCCTGTAAAGACCATTTCCTTAGTGCCAAGGTAGCTGAGTGAGAACATAGCTTGGCCCAGTGTGGCTTCTTAGGGATGGAGGAAGAGACCTATATGAGCTAAACCTGTGAGATCCCAAAGTAAGGCTTCTCTCCTCAATGGACAAAAGTAGGCTCTGTATCTGCTCTCCATGCTTCTTTTGACTCACATACGATTTGGCTGCCGAGAATCCCTCAGGATTCTATTATAGTAATGAAGGAAAGGAATGCCTCGTGCTTTCGGTTCTGTGCGGCTGCTGGTCTGATGTGTGTGGATGATTTACTGAAAGGAGAGGTTAGGGTGACAGAGCTGTGCCCCACCCAGAAGCACTGCTAACGAGGGAAGGCTCCTCTTGGAGATAAACACACAATGGGTCCAAATACAGACAAAAAAAAATCACCTCCAAAAAGCAAAATGGCTCCCAGCCAGCATTACCTCACTACAGGACCTTACTCTGACCCGATTGAGTTATTAACATTCTAATGGAAGAAATCGTTTATCACAGTGGAGCATGGCAAAATGGAAACAGAAAAGGCAGAATCACAGGGTAATGTTAATTACCTTACCCACCCTTAATTTGAGGAAGTTTGCTGAGAATAAATAAAGTCAATAGAGATGAAAACTCACCTCTCACAGTGATATTCAGCAGCGCGCTCTGGACGGGGCCGTAGCTGTTGTCCGCTGTACAGTAGTATCCCCCTGCATGGCTCTCTCTGATGGCAGGGAGCTCCAGCTCTGCTCTTGGGGAACGCTGAGTTTTCCTCCCCAGACTCTCCTGCGTGTCCTCTCGGTGCCAGGAGAACGTGGTGTACCCTGTGCCTTCAGCCACGGAGCAGACAAGGACCAGCGTCTCGCCTTCAACCGCCTGGCCCCCTGTGGGCTGTGTCTCCAGGAGCACTCCAGACACAGGGATCCCTATGTAAAAATGAGACCACAGGTCGGGGCCAGTTGTGAAGGAGGGCAGGGCTGGGTAGCTGGGGTGTTGGGCAGGGTCACTTCTTATGTGACTTCAAGATATCCTCTTCAGCAGGCACTAACGTTGACCAACAGACCACGAATTTAGGGCTGAAAATATCACTAAATGTGATAAGCTTTCCATCCTGATATATGAGGCCCCAGGAAAGAAAAAAGGACTAACCCTGAAGAAGCATTTGGGTTTTGTCTGACATCCTGGCTGGAGGTCTGAGTTGTTTTGAGGGAGAGGTAATAGCAGTAGTGGCCATCATGGCAGTAGGCTGGACCACATCTATTTTTAAAAGTCATAGTTTGGTACTTAAGTGATGTTTATTGGACCTATCTATCTCTCCTTCTCTTCTGCTGTACACATCATAGGCACTCACATTGTTCATTGCTACTGATGGATGCTTGTCTTCTAAATAGTTTTCTTTGAGATCTAGCCATTCTAGAATCTGCCACCTCCCTAGCAGGGCACCTTATTTTCTTGTTTTGTTTTCCATAGCTCTCAAACGTAACTCCATGAGTCAGCTGTGATTCTGAAGTCATAGAATTTCAAAGGAAGACTGAGGTTTTAGGAAAATGGAGGTAGAAAAGAAGTCATGTATTTCTCTTATTATTGTACTTCACTTCTTGGCCTAAGCCCGGTTCCTCTGTTGGGATGATAAAACCGGTCTCTGCTACATAGTCCCCATGCCTGCAGAGCCTGAGGGGCCCAGAAAGGCAGGGAAGATGCCTGGCTCTCCAACACTCACGCTGCACGTGGATCTGTAGTGAGAGACTGCGCTTGTGGATGTTCCCCACCACTGTTTCAGCACCACACCAATAGGATCCTGAGTTTTCTCTCCAGATGGCTGGGAGCTGGAGTTCCTGGGACGGGCTCCAGTCTGACAGGATGACCCCCTCATCTCTGAAGAAGATGAAGTGAAGTAGGGTATCCGACCGCTCTGGAGGAAGCTGTGTTTCACAGCTCAGGTTTACAGAATTCCCCTCTGTAGGCTGAGAGTCTGTAGCTTTCAGCTGTGGATGTGGAAATAGTTCTAGAGAGAAGAGGTAAATCAAGTTCTGAGCATGAGAGTATTTAGCACTCTGGGAGAGCCAGGTTTGGATGCTCAGTCCCAGGAAACTTCAGACACACAGCAAGACAAACTTATCAAACCCTCTATCAAAATTTTCTTCCACAGGTTTATTCAGGTACAATCATCCCACTTTCTCTGCCTCTTAGAGGACTTGTGCCTCTCATCTACCCGGGGTTTCAATAGTAACCCATAAATTCCTTCCTTACATGCGCAGTTTCCTATCCCTGACATTACTAAGCAAATCTATATGAACTGAAAGACTCACCTTGAATTTTAATCATTTTGAAATTTGATCTAAATACATCATTGTTGTCTCCATATCCAAAGCATTGATAATTGCCATTGTTATTTGAACTTGCATGTGGGATAAAAAGATCCCAGCTTTTATTAAAATTGGAAAGAATTTTTCCATTCCAAGTATATTTCACAGCAGTCAATTTCTCTTTCCTCCTTCTGTGGCATCTCAGAACTAACGTGTCACCTTCAAACACAGGATATGGGACCTGCAGGATTAAGGAGTCTGGAAAAGACACAGAGAGGAGATCGTCATTCAAAGCATTCCTGCTACTTCCTTCTTCTGTGTCTCTTGAATTACAAAGGCTTTATTGTTTTCTTCTTTCTTCCACAAGATGTAGTCTCTTGATCCAAGCTCACAAAACTCCTCCTAAATCAGTGTAACATGCTTCAGATACAATTCCTAAATTTCCTAAATAAATCCCAGAGGCAACTATTTTATCATTCAAGGTCAGATTCCAAAGATAAGGAGTCTAATATGGAGAATAAAAGCTGAGAGGAAGGGTGATCAAAATCCCTGACCTAATAGAGTACGTCAGAACTTAAAACCAACCTGCTCACCGAGTCCCAGAGCAGGAGCTATGAAAGAAGGGGCACTTGGAGAACTATGTGAGGAACTCTTCCTGGGCATTGGAGCGTGATTTGTAGCAGGATTCTTGTCAGAGACACAGTCTAGGTTCAAGGGACTGTGGATGTGGTCCTCTATGGAAATTCCATGCTGTTCAGATTCTAATGATTCTAATTTGAGGTTAGCTATATCTCTTCTTTCTTAGATGACTGTGTTGAATGCCTATGCCTGTAGACCATGCCCTTGCAAGTGACCAAAATCATTATCAATCAGGTAAAACTGGACAGGAGGAGCTGTGGGAGCTTGATGCCAATCAGAGGGAAAACTAGCAATGAGGAAGGGACACATAACAACGGGTGGGGATAAAAAGCATCAGTTCGGAGATTTCCCACCTCTGAGCTCCTCTGATGGCACTTTTGTCTTCAGCACAGTTATGTGTGTGTAACTTCTCCCTTATGAGGCTATAAAGCCCTGCAGGGCAGGATCTGAGACAGCTTCATTTTTGTACTCCCTAAAACTAACTCATTTTCTTGACCGTGTAAGTGTGTGGGGATGTCGATTAATATTAACCATTTAAACTCAAGTTTCAATCATAGTTTGAAAAACACTTGTAGCCATTGGAGGGAAAATGTGAAACTAAAGGAGCTGGGATGGAGGGTTAGAGAGCAATGAAAGACCCCAGTTCGTGGAACCTCCAGGGAGCTAAGATAAACGGAAACCCTTTATAAAGTTTCAACTAATTCACCTTCTTTCTCACCTGAAGAAAAGAGCAAGCGCACAGGGTTACTTTGCGGGGAGCCCTGGGCCTGGCATCTGTACAGTCCAGATTCCCGAACCTCGAGGGTGTTTCCTGGGGTTACGGTCACCTTTTCTCTCCAATAGTGCTGATACCATGTTGTTTTCTCTGTTGCATAGAATTGAAATCCATTGCAAGTCAGAGTCACTCTCTCTCCTTTGAAGAATGTGGTCCATGGAGGATGGACGGAAATCACAGGTTTGTGTGCAGCTGCTGAGGAGGAAAGAGTAGTAGGTCTGAGGTGGAGGTGCCTGCAGTCCCAGCTGCAGTGGCTTGTGTAGGTTACACTGGAGGACATGGCTTGGGAGTTCCCTAAGAGGCCCCTGGATGACTTCTGTTTCCCCAGGTTGCAGGTGAGCTGTGCTCACCTCCTCCAGGGTGCAGTGGCTGATCAGCAGTCTATAGCAGCAGATTGGCCTTTCAGAGGGAGGGCAGCCCTGGCAGGATCCACTCAGCAGTGATAGATGATGCGAGGCTCACAAACCCTCTCACTTGTTTCAGTGAACCAAGTCCTCAGGTAGATAGTTGGAAATCGCGTTTCTCCCGGACTCTCACCTGAGATCTTGGTGTTACAGGGACCTCTCTAAGATGAGTTCTTGTGTGTGAAGGGTACCAGAAAATGCCATCTCCAGGTTTGTCTCTTTGGCATATGGATTATTTTGAGCCAAAGGCCATTGAGAATCACCAGAAATAGGAAAAGTTCTAAAAGCAAGGCACAAGTTTTCCTTTATAAGTGAAAAGTTTTCCCTTATAAGGGAAATTTCCTTTTGTAAATGTGTCTCCCTCTCCCACACTAGGAAGAGGAAGACTCTTAACAACTTTCATCGATAGAGAAGGCATTGACTTAAATATGCATAAAAACCCTTGTTTACCATGTTTTTCCTAGTCAACCTGCCACAGCCTGCCTCTCCCACCCAGAAGCCCAAAACTCCTTTTCCTTTGTTTAGTCCAAGATGATATACAGGTTGAGTATACTTTATTCAAAACACTTTGGAACAGAAGGGTTTTGGAGTTTGAGTTTTTTTCAGATTTTGGAACATATACATACACCAAAAATCTGAAATATGAAATGCTCCAATGAGCATTTCTTTTGATCATCATGTCAGTGCTTAAAAACTTTCAGATTTTGGATTTCAGATATTTGGATGAAGGATATTCAACCTGTGTAAATCTCAATCATCTGGCTGCCTCCTTCAGCCATTGTTTTCTTTGTAAATTCCCCTGTCTATGTACATAATTAAAAATTTTTTTCACTTGTTAGCCTGTCTTTTTTTTTTTTTTTTTTTCCAAGAAAGAGTCTCACTCTGTCACCCAGGCTGGAGTACGGTGGCGAGATCTCGGCTCACTGCAACCTCTGCCTCCCAGGTTCAAGCGATTCTCCTGCCTCAGCCTCCTGAATAGCTGGGACTACAGGCGAGTGCCACCATACCCAGTTAATTTTTTGTATTTTTAGTAGAGACAGAGTTTCACCTTCTTAGCCAGGATGGTCTCAATCTCCTGACCTCGTGATCCACCTGCCTCAGCCTCCCAAAGTGCTGGAATTGCAGGCGTGAGCCACCGCACCTGGCCTAGTCTATCTTTTATCAAGTTAATTTATGGGCCCCAGAAAATTAACCTGTAGGATCAAGAGAAAACTTTTTCTTTGCCCTCTTAATTTGCTGAAAAATCAACTGATGAAAGGCAGATTCATAGGAGAAATGGTCTATAAATTTATTTACATGTGCAGGGCAGAATTACAGAGTGATTCCCCAAATATACCAATAAGGCCCAGACACTTACACAGCCATTTTTGGAGGGGAGTGGGGAGAGGGGGAATGTAGGTAACTCTTTTGAAGAGCAATAAATAATGGCCATGGTGAATTAATGGATAAATGGTTCTATTTGGAAGATAAATGAGCCTGAAGCATAGATATTTTCTTGTGATGGGGTCTGTTCAGGTGTGGTTACACCCGTCAGTCTTCTTTTCTACAGTAGAGAGGAGGGAAGAACAGCTGTGCTTACTGGTGGGTCGATTGGTCTTTAGGTGGATAGGGAGAAGTTTCTTCTGCTGATCTTTAAAGGCCTTTAATTCAAAATACTAGTTATACCAAGTGGCCATATTTTGGGGTGAAATATTTTGGCTTTCTTCAAACCTAAGAGAGATGGAAATTTTTTCCCTCCCCTACAGGTAGCATGAGCATGTGGTGGGATAGGGGTTATAGATGGAGTGAATATAGAAATCAGGAGGTCAATTAGACTGTTATGGAAAGTGGTTTAATTTATGTTTTTACTGTCAAGAAATATGTATGGGAGAGGTGAGCAGGCTCTGTCTGTCATAAGAAATATGCCTAGATAGCTGCAGAGAGTAAGAGTGCAGGGAGCTAGGTGGTCCTAACTTCCCAGACCTCAAAGCACTCTCTTGTGACAGTAAAATACTAACCCTACATGAAATTAGGCCCTAAACTCTTTGAAGCATTGGTGGATAGAAACTGAAGAATTTGAGGATAATACAAATTAAAAATAAGAGGCTTAATTCTCCCTGACAAAAGGAAGAGTCTTCTCTTCCTCTTTCAGAATTTCTTTCTCTGTCCTTTGCAAATGCATGTAAATGTTTATATTGGTTAAATAACCAAAACAGCATGGTACTGGTACCAAAACAGATATATAGACCAATGGAATGGAACAGAGGCCTCAGAAATAACACCACACGTCTACAACCATCTGATCTTTGACAAACCTGACAGAAACATGAAATGGGGAAAGGATTCCCTATTTAATAAATGGTGCCAGGAAAACTGGCTAGCCATATGTAGAAAGTCGAAACTGGATCCCTTCCTTACACCTTATACAAAAATTAACTCAAGATGGATTAAAGACTTAAATGTAAGACCTAAAAACCATAAAAACCCTAGAAGAAAACCTAGGTAATACCATTCAGGACATAGGCATGGGAAAGGACTTCATGACTAAAACACAAAAAGCAATGGCAGCAAAAGCCAAAATAGACAAATGGGATCTAATTAAACTAAAGAGCTTTTGCACAGCAAAAGAAACTATCATCAGAGTGAACAGGCAACCTACAGAATGGGAGAAAATTTTTGCAATCTACTCATCTGAAAAAGGGCTAATATCCAGAACCTACAAAGAACTTACACAAATTTACAAGGAAAAAAAAAAAAAAACATCAAAAAGTGGGCAAAGGACATGAACAGACACTTCTCAAAAGAAGACATTTATGCAGCCAACAGACACATGAAAAAAGGCTCATCATCACTGTCATTAGAGAAATGCAAATCAAAACCACAATGAGATACCATCTCACACCAGTTAGAATGGCTACCATTAAAAAGTCAGGAAACAACAGATGCTGGAGAAGATGTGGAGAAATAGGAACACTTTTACACTGTTGGTGGGACTGTAAACTAGTTCAACCATTGTGGAAGACAGTGTGGCGATTCCTCAAGGATCTAGAACTAGAAATGCCATTTGACCCAGTGATCCCATTACTGGGTATATACCCAGAGGATTATAAATCATGCTACTGTAAAGCCACATGCACACATATGTTTATTGTGGCACTGTTCACAATAGCAAAGACTTAAAACCAACCATAATGTTCATCAATAATAGACTGGATTAAGAAAATGTGGCACATATACACCATGGAATACTCTGTAGCCATAAAAAAGGATGGGTTCATGTCCTTTGCAGGCACATGGATGAAGCTGGAAACCATCATTCTCAGCAAATTATCACAAGGACAGAAAACCAAACACGGCATGTTCTCACTCATAGGTGGGAATTGAACAATGAGAACACATGGACACAGGGCAGGGAACATCACACACCGGGGCCTGTCAGGGGTGGGAGGGCTGGGGGAGGGATAGCATTAGGAGAAATACCTAATGTAAATGACAAGTTGATGGGTGCAGCAAACCAACATGGCGCATGTATACCTGTGTAACCAACCTGCACGTTGTGCACATGTTCCCTAGAACTTATAGTATAATAATAATAATAATAATAAAATAAATAAATAAGCCTATTGCCTGGCTCACAAACCAGGGAAGTCCTGGGAACCACCTTTTTGAATACAAACATCTAGGGAGAGAGTTCCTCTGTCTCTCTCAGTTCCTGGGGGAGAGTAAGGACCCAACTTTGGTGGCCTCAGCTTTCTCCAATGTGCAAAACGACCTGCTGTTGTAAAGACAGAAGTTTGTTTCCCTTCAGTTACTGAAGACAACAGGGTGGAATTCCTTTCTGTCTTTGCAGCTTCTTAGTGGATTGTCTGTGATGTTCATCATATTCTGGCTTATTGCTTATTCAATAATACAAATGTTTCCTTTCTCTACTACCCTTGTGGAGAGGATTTCTGAGTTGGGAGGAGATTTTGTTTTTAATTATGTATCTTCTAAGAAGAAACTGTTTTTGAGGCTCTTTTTAATCTGAATGTTTGTTTTCTGAGTTTTGTATTTCTGACTTTGTGCTGGCTAACAACAAAAGTAACTACAACACAAATTATTCACTATTAGAAACATTCACTCAAACGTCCTTACCAATATAATACTACTATCTAGCCTTCTCCAAAATCAGTGCTTTGGTAGGCTAATCTTTAGTGGGTGTACAAATGAAAATTGATTGCTATTTTAGATTCTGCTGAAGACGCAGTAATTTATAAACTTGGTAATAGTTATGTGAAATCACTGCTCTGATGAGTCATAAAATCACTGAAGAATATGGCCCAGCAAGACCTATTAATGATTATGAAGGAGAAATCAATAATAGGGAAAACACTTGTTTGGCTCTCAAAAGTCAGTCCCAATGCTCTTCTCTCTAACCTGTTGCCCACTAACATGTTTGAAAAAATGAAGTACTAACTTTCCCACCTACATGATCCAGGTCTGAATAAAGGGATGTCAAAGAAATAATGCTAAGGATGGACTAGGGAATAAGGATTCTGGGAAAGTGCTTTTCCTTTATTTGAAAGAAGAGATGTACACTGGGTGCTCTTTGACAGCTTTGCTTTCCTTCTCCACTTGCCTCCTTACTTCTCCCCACTTTCTGCCTTGAACAAAGTCATGAAGCCTGGAGCCATTGCAGCTACCACATTTTGAAAAGTCAATATTAGATTCATGCTTTGTCCTACAGATTGCCTATGGTAATGTCACTTCTGTGAAGTAGAAAATAAAATGCATCATTTTCGTTTGTATTGATTTTTCAAAAATAAAATCTCAATTTTGGGGATTGCTATTTACTATAAAATTTTTAATAGAATAACTTCTAATTATTTTCTTCTTGGAACCTTTTTACTCAGATGAGGACTGTCTACCTTTAAGGATTTATAGGCAATTGATTTTTTAAAGCTTAAAATTTTAAACATTCTTGCCTTTGTCCAGAAGAACTTCCCAAATAGACCTTTTAGTTACATCTAAATGAGAAGAAAATGCCCTTTCTCTGTTTGGGGGGAAAAAAGAAAACTGTAAAATAACCCAACTTCATGTTTTACAGGAAGAAGCTAAATGTTCTCTTTGGTAAGGTGAAACATCTGTGTGTCTCTGCAGAATTTATTTTATTTTATTTTTCAGATGGAGTCTTGCTCTTGCCCAGGCTGGACTGCACTGGCCTGATCTCAGCTCATTGCAACCTCCACCTCCTGGGCTCAAGTGATTCTCTTGCCTCAGCCTGTAATCACGTGCCACCACGACTGGCTAATTTTTTGTATTTTTAATAGAGATGAGGTTTCATCATGTTACCCAGGCTGGTCTTGAACTCCTGACCTCAAGTGATCCACCCACCTCAGCCTCCCAAAGTGCTGGGACTACAGGCATGAGCCACTGTGCTCAGCCTCTGCAGACACTTTTTAAAAAGAAAATTCTGTATTTAAAGGTTTAGACAGAATACCCTATGTCATCAGTGGGAATGGGGCTGTGTTTCTGCTGAAGAGAATAGAAAACCCTACCGGCTATGCTCCTGGGAAGCACCCGGATGCGGGGCAATTGAGAGTTAGGCAATAGGTCTTCTACTGGAGGGAAGGAGAATTTATTTCCTTTGATGTGTGCAACTAGACTCTTCTTTGCTCTGAGGAAGCTGCCCCTGCTATGTGCAGGTGGCCCTATGGCCAAGAAGGGACATAACTTTTCAGGGCCTTCGTGTGTTTGAGACTGAGTTGATGGGCTCTGAGATTAACTACATCCTTGGCTGTAGTTAATTCAAGACACTTTTTGTATTTCATTTCCCCATTCAAGAACCATTAGCAAAGTCTGCCAAGTTATCGTCTTGTCTCAGGAAGGGTGTGTGGGAAATAGTCTGTCCATGGTACCAAGGAGGGGAAGAACAGCAGAATTAGGAGCCGCAAGAGACAGTGCACCTCAAGGGGGCCAAGACCCTTGCTGGCTCCAGCAGCTCCTAGGGTGCTCTAGAGGAATGGCCCAAACACCTGTGAGGCAGCTCCCTATGGAGGATGGGACTTTTTGTTGACCAGTAGGGTAGATGGAGACTCAGGGTCATCATAATTTGAGCTATTCACAGAGAAGCGTGTTTTCATGGGATGCGGAAGTTGGGGATAAATTTGTTACACATGGTTAGTGGAAAAGCTGCTGGAGCCCCAGCCTCCCCCTGTGAAGTATTGGCTTATTTCTACCCTTTTCCTCTCGGGATGCTATGCATTCCATCAGGCTTGGCTAGAATCCCACATCAGGCAGGGTGGCAGCTCCTCCTCCTGTGGACTCTGTGACACATATCCCAGGCCCTGCCATGTTTATCCAGCACAATGGCAGTTTTGGTTTAAGAGAGTGACCCCCAAATAGCCTGATTCTTAGAGTCAGGGTCACCACACCAGCTGATGTTTCCACATCCCTGCAGCCCTCAGGAAAAGAATGAAATGGACAATGGGGACTCTTGTAAGTATTTGAGATAAGATATAGTTATTAGGAAATCTAGAGATATAAAGGAGCAAAGAAAATAAGGACTTACCAGATTGTCCACAGACTGGAGCTGAAAGAGAGTAAAGAGCCAGCCATCAGCATAGGCAAGGAGTCCCAAACCATTCACCCTGAGAGCCCACACACTCGTATGCTACCTCCAACCAAGAGGAAGAGAAACGCGTTCCGTTTCACCCATCCCAGGGAAGTGGGGAAACACAGTGGCCGGACGCTCAGGCTGTGGGCTCAGACGGTCTGGTTTGAATTTTAGTTGTATGACCCAGGGAAAACCACATGAACTTTCAAGTCTCAGTTTTCTCATTTGAAAAATGAGGCTCACAAAATCGACCTCATAGTAGTACTGTAATGAGTTAGATCCATAAGGTTTCAATTAATGGCTGCTGTCATTAATTTTTTAGTATGGGGTTGCTGCTGCTCCCTCTTCTCTTGACTCAGAACACTTATTATCACAGCTAATTTGGAATTCAAAATGAGACAGACAGTAGGGGGTAGTAGTTAAAAGCCTAGTTTCCAAAGTTAGATTATGGGTTTGAATCGTGTACTAGCTGCATAAACCTTAGGGACAAGATCAACATCTTTGTGCCTTCATTTCCTCATTTGTAAATGGGAGTTATAAAAGTTCCACCCAATCAAATATTAGAGAATTGGATAAATTTATACGTGGCATAACCTTAGAAACGTGGGATGTGGTCAGGGCTCAGCAAAAATTAATTGACATCCTCACACATTATCCTATAACTATTTGCGTAATATTTTTCTCCTATTGTCGAGTCAGATGTTCTTGCATATGTACATTGAGGTTCTATTGAGAATGTCACCTCTTGAGGGCAGAATCTCTGTCCTTCAGGTCTCCGTATCCTCTGTGGTGCCCAGCAGTGTGGTATGCCAAGTAAACCCATCCATTCACTCCTTAGTTTTCATCACATGTCAATCATACTAACAGGTCTTCCCTTAGTTGGGGTCTGGGGATCAGGTGGGAACTAGACAAATATACTTAATAAATATTTAATGTACAGCAGATTGACTGTTCTTTAATTCCCTAGTTTGAGCTACTAGGAAATCAGTGCCTCATTTGTACAAACACTGACAAGTGGTACAAAAGCAGGAAGAAAAAAATCAAAGGGAAACCATTTTATCTCTTCTCATGCTCTTTGCAAACATCAGAGCAGGTTTGATCTTAGAATACAGAGAAGGAAATAACTATTCCCAGCAGATGATCCTTTCTACCTGAGTTCACAATCAGGACTTGGTCCTTCACAAAGAACTCAGTCCATCTTCTCCTCTGGGTCCTCATGCTCTGTGACTTAGAGACTGAACCTAGCCATAGGTTTCTTTTTACATAAATGAAATAAGTCCATTTGGGGGTAAAATGATTTTCTGTAGTCAATTAATAGCAAAAGTAGATGAGAAATTCATCTTTGGAAATCAATCATTATCATTTTTCCCCTTCTACCAGTAAATGATTATCTTTCCTTTTTGTTCATTTTCTGCTGTTCTAAAATGGGAGTAAAAATCCATGATTGCAGCAGCCCAGAAAAGAGGGCTTTTGCTCATGGTGAGGCTCAGCTTTGCAGCAAGCAGAGGCCTCCTCTCAATCACTTACCAAAGAGCAGCAAGGACGCCCACAGCAGCATGGAAGCCTGCTCCAGGGTTAGAGAAGGAGTTCTTAGTAGACAAGCCAGGTCAGCCCAGATTGCCAAAGCAGCACTTGCCTACACCAGCACCAGCAGTGAGCTCAGTAAGCTTCTTCTCTGCATAAACCTGATTGAGATAATGAAGTGAAAGGGGGAAGTAGAGGACTCTTTCTGAAAACACCAAACAGCAATGTGGTCCAGTGTGAGAGAATCCAAACCATAAAAATCAAAATTTAATAGAACTAAGTACTGCTGTGACATCCTGGCGTAAATCACTTCTCAAGGCTAAAGCTACTCTATTTTCAGGACTCTCTAGCCTCTGTCTTTCAAGGAAATCACAACCTATTCTCTCTGCTACCAGAGATGAGGTAAGATTGCAGGCTTATTGAAATCCACATAATATAAGGATGTCCCTGAATCTCACCAGAGATGATGAATTTCTCATTCAACATGGAAAAGGCCTCCTTTGACCCCTGATGCTTCTACTGGAACACCTCCAGCAGGCCCTCTGTATATCTGATGAAACATCTCAATCACAAGGCAACTCTCACCTTGTCTGATATATATGAAAGTATCCTGACTCATCAGTCTGGGAGAAGCCACAGCTTTTGATCTGAGTAGAAGGCAAGCTGAGGAGTAAATTATAGCCCCATCATGCTCTTCCTAGATAATAGACCATAACATTTTCACTTAATGTCCTAGAATCCGAAATTTGCTACAGGAATGTCTTGGCAAATATATATTGATTGAAATACATATGCCTGGTATCTGGTGGCAGAGAGAATAAGTTGTGATTTCCTTGAAAGACAAGAGGCTACAGAGTTCTGAAAATATGATGGCTTTAGCCTAGACATCAGGATGTCAGAGTGGGTACTTAAATAATTCTATTAAATTTTGAATTTTGTCATCTGGATTCTTTCACACTGAGCAACATGCCGTTTGGTGTTTCAAGAAGCACCTAATGCTCTCCCTATCTGTAACAAACCCGAACACTCTGCTCATGTATCTCAGAACTTAAAAAAAAGGTTAAGAAAAAAAACAGGGAAAAATCCATAATGACTTTTTTGGTACATATAACCTTTTGGTATGTATAACTCTTTAAAACTTTTTTATGCTGTTATCTTGTGTATATAGATATAAAAAAATGTTGATGGCAAAAAAAAAGAAACACCGTGGTGCTTCAGGTATGGTGCCAGGTGCTGGAAGTACAGTGTTAATCAAGGCTTCGAAAGCTTTCATTCTAGTGGGGAAGACAACTAGTCAACAGGAAATTACATACAAGTGAAAAGTGTTCTGAGAGTCCACTAGGAGAGAAATCTGACCCCGTTCTGGGGATGCACGAGAGGCTTCCCTGAGGAAGTAACATCCAAGCTGAAAGAATATCATTCCAGGACTGAGAGATTAGCACGGACTAAGATGAAAGGCAGTTATCGTGACCCTCATCATCACCCTCAAGATATCTGTGAATAGATGATAGACATAGGATGGATTAAGAGTGGTCTGTATTTTTCTAATATAATGTTTTTCTATATATTTGTAATAGTTTATTTTCTAACTAGGGTTTGTATCGAACATCAACTGTATTTTAGACAATGTCCATGGCCTTAGAAGAATAAAAAGGTGAATAAAGTGAATCTCTCTTAAAGACTTAGAAAAAATCAATGTGGTAAGGACCAGGGTAGACACAGGCACAAGGAACCATAGAGACACAAGCTGTCAAGGCGGCAAACGGGTCCTTTGTCTCCTTGCCTTGTGACCTTGCTGTCATCTTTCAGCTGCCTTCACTTGTCCCAGGAGGAGCAAGGGTGTAAAATGGCAGTCAAGAACCTGATCTATAGAATCCCACACATCTGGATCAAACCTTGACTTCACCTCTTGCTATTTGGGTGACTCTGGTCAAGTACTTAGCCTCTTTCACACTGGTAAAAAGGAGATAAAAATAATGTCCAGCTGAAGTGGATGTTGATATTGATGTTTGTATGAATACATTAATGACATAGAACTCTCGGGTCAGTCCCTGTGCTGAGAACTATTCTGTAATACTCGAAGTAACAAGTATAATGAACTGAAAAGCACTTTATAATTGACATAATATTCTACCATCATTTTTGTATTCCTTATAACACTGGAAAATAGTGTTTTGCATGAGTTTAGAGCTCCAATATTTATTGATTGACTAAGGATTGAGGGGAAGTTGAAATCATATTGCCTGTTTTCTTGTTTCTACCATAAGTTTTGTTGAATGAATAAATTTCAATTAGCAAAATAATATTTCACATTTATGACATTATACAAGATGTCCAAACACAAAAATCATATTTATTTACAACTACTGTGTAAATGTTTAAGTTTACATCAGTCAAGTACTATTTTTGTTGTTGTGTTTAAGTCACGGACAGAAATGTTTTAGTTATTGGTTCCAGAAGTATGGTTTTACTTTGAAACATCAGCCAGGGAGTACATATACCATGATTTATTAAGCAAGTGCTTGACTAACCCAGAACTTTTAGATTTTATGTTAACAAAGGACAAAAATAATTGTTTTCAGTGAGAATGTAAGAAACCAAAAATTTGAAACTTTTCTAATTTTTTTTTGAAAAACATTTAAACCGTTACAGTTTAAAAAATAAATTTTCATTTTGGGGTAATTCTAGATTTATATACAATAGTAAGGATAATACAAAGAGTTCCCATATAGGAAGCCCTCACCTGTTTCAATTTCCCCTACAGTTATCATTTCACATCATGGTGGTACATAAGAAACAAAGATTGCTGCATTGCTATTAATTACATGCTTATCCAGCTTTTTTCAGTTTTTCCATTGATACCTTTTTCCTCTTCTAGTATCCCCTCTAAGATACTACATTACATTTAGTTATCTTTGCTCCGTCTCTTCTGGTCTGTGAGTTTCTCAGTGTTTCCTTGTTTTTCATGATCTTGACAGTTTTGAGGAGTACTGGTTAGGTAGTTTGTAGTGTCTTTCATTCTGGGTTTGTCTGATGTTTTGCTCATGATTAAATTTGGGTTATGAGTTTTCACAAAGAATACCACAGTGGTAGAGCATCCTTCTCATCACTTAGTGAGTATGGAATCTCAACATGACTTATCACTGGTAATGTAAATTGTGATCACTTGGTTAAGGTAGTGTTTGCCAGGTTTCTTCAATGTAAAATTACTGTTTGTCTTTTTCTATGTTCTTCTGTTTGGGAGCAAGTCCAGCCCACAGTTAGGGCGAGGTGAGGTAGAGGGATTTGTCTCCTTGTTCTTATTTACTTATTGATGTAGCCATCCATTCAATCATTTGTTTATATCACTATGGATTTGTACGTTTACTTTAAACTTTGGTAACAATATAATGCTTTACTTATTTTGTCGCTCAAATTGGTCCAGCTTTGGTGAGTGGGAGCTCTTTCAGGTCAGCTTCTTTGTGCCTTTGACAAACCCTCATCCTTTTCCTTGTTAGAACATTTCTGTACTCTCTGGCACTATGAGATGCTCCTGGCTCATCTTACATTTTCCTGCCCCAACTCTAGAATCAGCCACTTCTTCAAGGAGCCCCAATTCCTTTCAATGGAGATTGATATTTAGAAACCAAGATCTGAGTGTGAGTATGGTCTTTACTACTACGGGGGAATCACACATTTTTAACTATGTGACAGGGAGTCTGTGGTCTTGTCAGTGCTTTATGGGTGGGAAAAATACCGGAGGGATAAACTTGTTGTTCTTGTTATTAAAAGACTCTTCTCCCAAATCAGTGGCTATATACATAATGATTTCTATAGCCATTTGTTAGTGATGGAGGAACAGCTGCTTGGAGTATTCAACTTTGAACTTCAAAGAAAAGGCAGTGAATAAGCTCAGTTACATTTATTTGTAGGCTAGTGCCATGTAGAAACCTCATTTTATTTTCCATGACTGTAGATAAGAATATTTCTAGCCCTCAATGGTAAAATATAATCTCCTTTTGTTTTAGGGACTTTTCAGAGATGATTTCTTGTTCTAAGTCGAGACTCTTCTATCTTCATGAACATACAGATCTTTTTGCTCAAACACTTGTCCAAAGTGAGAACAGAATCACAGGTTGTTAGTGCCCTCTATTCTAGATTCATAGATCCACAGTTATGTAGTAGAGGGTGTGAAATGGACACCAGATTTGAACCCTAAGGCCTGGCTATGGTTTTGCTTCATCACTTAGAAGCTACGTAGCTCAAGGCAAATCCATTTTGTTACTTGGAGACTTTAACACCAAAACTTTGATTTCCCCAATATTTTTATTTCAAAAAATTTTAAACCTTTCAAAAAATGGCAAGAATAGTACAATAAATACTTACCTGCTCCACTGAGAGTTACCAGTTATTAACATTTAGCCATATTTGGTCAGCTTTTGCCTGAGGGTTGGCCAAGGCAGTGCTGTTTGAGGGATATGTCAGAAGGTTGCATGTGCAGGCTGGCTCATTCCAGTGTATTGTACTATGGGATGGAGCTGGGAGCAGGAAGAGAAGTAGGAAGCTGTAAGCTTGGAACCGGAGACCAGAGCCTGCTTTCTTTATCATGCCTTGTTCTAGTATAAAATTCCCATGATCTGAAAATGTTATATTTGAACCCAGACTTCCAGGTCATTATGAAGGTATATTTGTCAAAGTAGGAGAATAAAACACATCTTATTAGGTTATTAGATTGATTTATACTTTTTTTTTTTTGAGACGGAGTCTCTGTCTGTTGCCCAGGCAGTGCAGTGGCGCGATCTCAGCTCACTGCAAGCTCCGCCTCCCAGGTTCCCGCCATTCTCCTGCCTCAGTCTCCCGAGTAGCTGGGACAACAGGCACCCGCCACCACGCCCGGACAATTTTTTACATTTTTAGTAGAGACGGGGTTTCACCTGTGTTAGCCAGGACGATCTCGATCTCCTGACCTTGCGATCCACCCGCCTCGGCCTCCCAAAGTGCTGGGATTACAGGCGTGAGCCACCGCGCCCGAACAATTGATAACTTTTAAATCCCCAGATTTGTATTAGGAAGACCTCAACTTGCACTGTTGCCAGGGCCTCTACAAAAGTTAGGGAGGCACAGAACACTTACCTGGAAGGGGAAGGGAGATACTGCTTTTCCATTAATTCACTTTATGTGGAAACTGATTTTCTACTACATTAATTTCTATTAGCCAAAACTGAGTTAATTTCTTGAAAAAGAATCACCAAAATAAAAGTTTTAAAATCATAACTT